GCAGGTGCGTGGCTAAACAGCGAGGTGGGGGAGGTGGAGGGAGAGAAGGCAGGAAGGGGCAGCAAAGGCATTTAAAGAAAGCAGCAAAGCTCATGCAGGACCCCCAGTGCCTCGTCCTGAGGGCCAGACCCTCAGGCGCTTCTCCGCTTGCCCTGACCTCAGCTGGAGCAGAACCGTTCCCTTCAGCCGAGGACTGAACCCGGGACTCCCTCTGTCTACAGCAAGTGGAGACCCTTCCCCTGCCAGCATACGCAGCAGAATGACCACACAGGGGTGCAGACCCGGCTGCCCCACGGCCTGAAAGCAGCAAGTTCAGCGTGCAGCCCGCGAGTCTCTCCACCTGAACTCTGGATCAGCTGCCCCCTTGCAAGGCATCCCCCGCCCCAAGGGGAGCGAGAAGCACGTCGGGCAGAGAAGCGCGGGTCTGCCAGTCGATTATCAGCACAATCAAGGACAGAAATCAGGGGTTGCCTCCTGCTGCCCTCAAGCCACCTCCAACTTATTCCATGCATGAAATCATGAGGGGACGGTTGGGGTAGGCCCAGTTCCATGCTAGGAGATTCGCTTTCTTGCTCACGAGGTCAAAAGCTGCGTTGTTTTGCATGGACAGAGGGGTTCGGGTCCTCCTCTCCCCCAACCCGCAAGTGTGCATGCATCAAGGGACGTTTGGCACCATCGGTAGGTCTGTAAGTGTCACCCTGGGCAAGATCCCCCACGAGCAGCAGAAGAATGGCAAGCAGGAACCACGTAATCATGCGCTCCAGGCACAAGCCATGTGAAGTTCTGCCAAGCCTGGGAGAGGCCACAGCTGCAAAGCACACGCTCTGCCGAAACTCACAGGCCCAGCGAGAAAGGCAGAGGGACCAGGAAGGGCTGCGCTGAAGCCCCAGTGAGGACAACGCTGGGCTCAGATTATGTCGGACTGACTCGGCTTTCCGGTGGCATTCTGCCAGCTGAGGGGCCAAGAACGGCAGGTTGCGTGGGCTCCGACCAAGAGCCAAGAAGAGATCCAACTCTTGAGAAAACCTGCATCCTCCATTTGGATCCGGAGACAGCAACCCCAGTAATTATCAGCCACTCTCCCGATACACGCAAGCTGAGGAAAGGCAGAGCGTGCGGCACAGATGCGTGCGTGAGGACAGAGGCCTGCCAGAGACACCACACCAAGCAGCATCCAAGCAAGTTCCCCACCGAGTTCATTAAATCCCAGCCCTCGAAGCTCCTTTGATCACAAAAGCACTTCAAAGAGGAGGAGGAGGAGGAGGAGGAGATCCAGCCAGTAAATCAGAATCCCGCGGTTTCAGTTCTGCAGCGATCATCGTGCCCGAGAGTGGCCTTCGTTGGTGACCAGAAAGGACCCAGCAAACCTTGCCCCAGGGCTTCCCAGCTTGCTTTCCCGACCTGGGCGGCATTCACCTCCAGCGGGGGTCAGACATCCCCCTCAGCGACCAGGAATGTCTAAGAGCTTCACCAGAGCCAGGCGGAACCGGCCGGCTGCCCAGCCGGACCAATCTGGACCCAACATCACGGGCTGGTTCTGCTACCGTTTCAGCCACCACCACGTTGGACCACAGAAAGGCCGAACCTCCCCTGCCACCAGGTCCAGGCACCATTCAGCAGACTACGAGCCACACTGGGTAAGGCCCAACTCTGGGGGAGGTTCTGCCGTCCATCAGCATTAGGGAGGCGTTCTTCTAAATCCCCCCCCCCAACTCTCCCAAGTGAGAAGAGAAGCCAGCAGAAAAACGCTGGCACTGAGCCTTCTTTTGCCTCCTGGATCGCCACCTGGAACCAAAGGCCTGGAAGGACTTCTGGGCCCTGCAAAGGTGTGAGGGGTGCATGCGTGTGTGCGTGCATGCCTTGACTCCTGGCAACTAGATGGAGAAGCCCCTGCGGACTTCCTGCCACATCCTCAGAAGCCATTGCCTTCTTCCTAGGGCTGAGAGGGAGGGCTGGCCCAAAGGACTCACCGTCTCCTGGTGTCTTCACCACCACACCAACTGGTTCACCTTGCACTGAAAAAGCAACGGGCAGCAGCCGTTCCACTCACCTCTGTTCTCCGGGTAGCAGCCTTCTTCAGAAGCGCTTTGTCGCAAGGGATCCGGAGGCGGTTTCTTCCTCCTCTTTTCCTCCTGCAGCTCCTTCTGCTGCAGAATCCGCGCGATGTCCTGAAATGAAGTGCATATGAAGGAGCCTTTTTCCAAGTTTAGCTGAAATCCATTTTCATCCCTGTATCTTTTCCCCCAGGCGCTCAGGGAGGTCCCTACATGGCCCCCTGGCTGTTCCCTCCTTTGGCCCCCATTGGAGGACCCCTCTCTACCCCTTTGCAGGCTTTCTGAGGGCTACCGTTGGAAACTTGCACGGCTAAGGCTGGGGACCTGCTTGTTTCCTCCAGGAGAGAAACAGCCTTTGCCTCCACGCACAACATGAAGGTTACCTCATCATCCTCTTCCTGCCGCCGCCGCTGTTCGGCTTCAATGACCAGCTTGACCTGGATCTCCTGCGCAATCTCGCAGTCTTGCCGCTCTCTGAAAGAACCAGAGGATGAGGATGGGTGGGGGAGACAGGGAGGAAGCATCGAGCAGGCATGACCAGGGGAAGACAGCCAAGGGCAGAAGGAAGGTTCTGGCTTGGCCGGCAGCACATTCACAGACGCCTTCAGGATGAGAAAGGCTGTTCTGATGCAAGGCTCTGCACTCACATGTCCCACCATCAATCTTTCATGGCCTGGAAGGGCATATCCTTATGGCAGCCTTCAAAAAGCACCCTCTCCCCCCAGGAAGGACCATCTCAGCTGCTGCTTGGCCTCTTCTGGAACTGGAGACACAGGGGCACTGAACGCGGGGCTGTTGCATGCAAGAGCAGAGGCTCTACCTTGGATCCATGACCTCTGTTTCAAAGGGCCACAGAGTCAGCCCTGAAATGACCCGAATGAGCCTTCAAGGTTTGCAGAGCGAAGGCAGAGGGCCCTCTCATTAAGACAAGCAGTAATTCATTGGCCTTATTTGCATGCAGCATAAGGCAGGGTTCCTAGCACATGCAGCAAGATCTCGAGAAGGAAGACCACTGCTGAGGGCCACAATATGCAAGAGGTTGTGTGATAAGATGGTGCTGGACCTTCTAACAGGCAGCAGCAGCACTCAGCACGGAACCTGGCTGGCTAGAGGAACTAGCAAAAACCTGGAAAGTTAATCATGTCAGGAGTGGAAAGCAACGGAAGACGGCCGGTTATGGTCACGTGGGATTTGTCTGGGGTGGAATTCAGTGGTATCTCTTCAGAGGGAAAAGCAAGTGACAGCTGATTAGGGGGAGGAGGTGGAAGAGGAGGAGAAGAACCACAAGAACCACCACCCCTTTCTCTCTGAAGGCCCAGGAACGCAGATCAAGCATCTACTCAGCTTACTTTATGAGGAGTGAAGCTTTGAGAATCAAGAGTTTATTCCTTCACTAATTCAGACTGAAAAGTCCTGGCTAATAGCGATGCTAACTGTTTTTATGAAATCCGAACGGTTTGATCGTGTTACGGTTCACCGCCCTGACTGCCCTCCAGGTATAACGATGGGATGCGCGCATAAACGTGATGCGTGCGCCTGTTGCGTAAGCCTGGCATGTCTGGAAGCAGTAAGTCAGACTCTCCGATTCGGGTGAGACGCTAACCCGGCACGCCAAACTCACACAGGCCTCGCTTGCATCTGCGGAAGGTTACGTTGCCTGTTCGGCTCTGGCTGGAAATCCTGGTCACCCTGAAGCCGGACAGCGCAGATCACGAGCCAAAAGCTTCTCCCCGCCTGCTTCCCCCAGGCCAAGCTGTGCGTGACTTTACGCCCCTCAACCCGCTTCTCCCCTTCCAAGCCGGAGCCCCAACGGGCCAGCTGCTTCTTCTACGGAGAGTGCCGATTCTGCGTGCCCCCCTCTACCGTTAGCTTCCCTTCCGTACATCCTTTTCCAAATGCGGCCCCCGGAACTGTACCCCCATTTCCTAAAAAGGCATTACAACATTTCCAAAGCATGGAATTTGCCTTTTTCACAGCTGCCAGACACTGCATCAACAGTTTCATGCCACTATTTTATTTCATTATATTTATTTTACTATCAAATTTATACCCTGTCTTTCTCTTTGTGTAAACACTTGACATCGCTTACAGCAATCCACAATTACAGCCACGAAGACCCCCCAATGTCTTTTTCCTGGCCACTCAGAGGCAGCTCCAGCCCCATGAAAAGGGGAGGGTGCCCCAATGCGCATCGCTTTACATTTTTTTGTACCACAATGCCATCTGAATAAGCCTGACCCCTTCCAAGCTGGTGTCCTGTGGGTATGCAGACTGCCCCACCCAAGTTGGCTGAGCATTCTGGGAGTTGTTGTGAAACCTCTTCTCCGGGACGAGAGGCAGGAAAGGCTGATCTTGGTAACTCAATTTCTGCACGCCACGTTTTTGGGCGGACCTGTTGCCTCCCTGCTGCCTGGCTTCTGTCCAACCTCAGCCAGCATATCCTCAGCTTCAGCCTGGACTCTCCCCCCCCCCATCACCTGGGATAGATACCCCCGTGGAGGCAGATCAGTGCAGCTGTCATCCTCTTGATGTCACAGGAGGACCAGTCTAACGTTCGGACAGGCTCACTTTTCCGTAGGGCAGGACTGCTCTCTCCGTCCCCTTGCCAGGTCCCACCCTGCCAGGAAAGGTTTGCAGAAAACAGCCTAACAGAGGGTGGGGCCCTTTCTCTTCACTAACTGCACCAAACCTATTTTAGGATTTACCTACAGCTTCGTGAGTTTCCCAACTCAGACAGGAGGAAACAGCGCTGCCAATTTTTAGCAATCGTGTTGCCAAAATTTGACAGTGCAACTGGAAGGGATTTTTAGCACCGTAAGAAAGGGGGCTACACCCAGCCCTGTGGCTGCAGGTCGTCCCTGTTGTTCAGCGCAGTGAGAGTCCCGGGGCATCCTGTGATCCTCCAGGGTCCCCCCGGGGAAGAGCGCAAGGACCAAGCACCACAGCCGCCACTCACATGTCCTTGTGCTGCTCCTGGAGGCGAACGCGCGCCTTGCGGTCTTCCTCCTCTTGCAACTGCTTGGCCATCTGCAAGTCGTACTGGACCAGGCGGTTGCGCTGGACGTTGGTGGCCAAGTGGTGCTCAACTGAAAGGAGACAGGGAGCAGGCCGTTAAACTAACAGTCTGCAAAGACTGCAGTTCCACCAACTGAAGCTCTATTTGCAAAGGATGCTGAAACACAGAGTAGAAATAACCAAACAGGATGGGTTCACCCCCAACCTAAAAAGCCCCCAAGTTTAATAAGCTGTATGGACGCAGACCCTCCACCAGATTGGGTGAAGCATCCATGTGAACACAGCTTGGATTAAAACAGCAGCACAGCATCTTCTGTGAAAACCCAGGTATTTTCTCTTCCAGCATTAGAAAGGTCTCCATGCAGGACCAGGCGCAGGATCAGGTTCCAGCAAATTTTAAATTACACATTCAGTAATATTGGTGAACTGTGTTTTAGGGCACATTTCAGTTTCACTCTCCCTGGGCCATAAAACCCAGTTCACAAATGACAATAACTGGATTCATACAAGATGCAAAACCAAACATCAAGCTAGCTATTTGGCAACGTTAAGGTCAGTCAGATTGTTCTTTTAAAAATGAGGTTCCCAGCACTTGGGATATCCCGATGGCGGGTTCCCTCGTTCCCAAGCAGGCACACGCAGCTTTGGTTATTCTGCTGCACTATCGAAGCAGCTAAACATGTTTATCTTTTGGGCGGCAACTGCTTTACCTTATTTTCCTTACGTGGCCCCCGTTTTAATAATTTTCAGATTTTTAAAAACGATTGTATCCACGGCTCTAATTAATTTTGCAATCTGCTTCGAATGCCCTGATACACGAGCAGGGCACATACCGCATATCTCAATAAAGACACACAAAAAGGCTACAAGCCACACAACTGGATTACAACTTCTAGCACTTGAGGGCAGCAATGGCGTCAGTTCCTGCACGGCAGGAGGAGGAGCAGAGGGGAATTACGCAAAAGGCTGCCTGCAGACGAGGACAGAATCCGCCCGTGTTTCTCCGAGGGAACTTACTTTCCTGTTCCTGCAGGCTGTGGGCCAACGTGTGATCCTCCAGGACAGCGAAATCCCGGCACACTAGGGCAAAAAGCAGAAAGTATGAGTCTCCTCAAAGAGGGGTGTGTAAAATCCCTAGCCTGGGATTACCCTACCTAATAGTTACCCTGCTAACTTGGGTAGTAACTTCTTCCATGATAGCAAGGCAACAGAAACCTCAAAAAAGAGAAAAAAGTCTTGCCAGATGCTTATCAATGCTTCTCCACAGACACAGCCGAGAGGCAACGGATACCATAACAGAAAGAACCTGTGGGTGTGCATGCGTGGGTGTGAGTGCGCCAAGGGCAATAGGAAAGCACAGATCTTCCACCAAGGCCCCCACCTCTTGCAATGGAACCAAGGAGATCCTGAAGCTGGCAACGTCTGTGGAAAAATGCAGATTCTCTGTATTTGTAGACAAATAGAAATGATTTGTATTTTGATGCTTTTGTATTTTGGATGAAACTGGCAACCTGTGTAGAAAAATACAGATCTTCTGTATTTGTAGAAGAATACAAGCGATTCTCATTCTCTATCAGCAGCCAAGAATCTGTTCTGCTCGGAGAAGGGACAAAGGTCCATTTTCATCCTGAATCTGCTACTGCAGAGTTCCACAACCGATGAGAGGGGAGGAAGAAGGAAGGAGACCCTCTCACTGCCAGCAATATGGACTCCCAAGAGTCAGGGCAGAGACCACGTCCCCGCCAGTTTCAGCAGACAGCAGCCTCTGGGAACTTGTGAGAAGGCAGATTCTTGCCTTCTAATCTAATCATTAATTATTTAATAATTAATGAATTAAATAATTAATTTAATCTGGGCAATCTAATTGCCCAGGCATGCAGACCAGTAAGTCTCTTGAGGGCCTGTCAGCATCGCCCAGGAACTTACACAGAGAGCTGGTCGGGTGTTGTGGGGACTAAAAGGCTGGACTAGAAGGCTGAGGCCAACCTCTTCTGTATTCTTCCAAGAAAACGATATGGCCACATTCAGGAAGATACCAGGAGCTGTGTTTGGCTCAAAGAAGCCTTTCCTGTTATCCTTTCTTTTTTTCCCTCCCTTCCCCTTCCCCCTAGCATTTTCCCACAAGTACACGGTCCATTTTGTTGATAATTAACATTATTATTTATTATTATGTATTTATTATTAGTTATTATTTAGCCAGTTGATAATAACTAACCTGCTATTATTATAAATAATTATAAGTAAATGCCTGTTAGTTTATTTATCTGTTGCGTTTATATCCCACCTTTTCTCTGGGATCACAAGGCAGCAGACCTCAGGGTGTCCCCTAATTTAATTCCCCAGAGCAATAAACACCCTTCCCCAACCCCGCACCCCCAAGATATGTGCCAGGATGACAACTGGAGCCCCAGAAACGCGATGAACCGCCATGCCTAAGGAAAGTTCAGTGCTTGGCTCTCCACAGATACCACCCCTGCAAACAGCAGGAGCAGCGGCCTCTTCAGATACAAGGTGCAAGACGCGAAGCCCCTTTCCTTGGGAATGCAGAAAGGGTGGCGATGCCTGGATGCTGGATAAGGGCAGATTTGGGAGGGAGAAAAGCTCAGCTGTGACCATCAATTCCTTGACAGCAAGCCTTTGTTTCCCCATTAGATGGTCCCCCTCCTTCTGAGTGAACCACAATGGAACAGAAGGAGCTGACGTTTCCACCATGACCCACCTCTCTTCCCAAAGAGCCCATTGGCAGGCTGAGGAGGAGGAGGGAGTCAAGTGGGTCTCCAGCATGCGTCCATCTCCTTCTCTGTCCCCCTCTGGTCTCCTCCTGGAATTCAGCCCACCCCCAGGCCTCCTCCTCATCTTCCCAAGCTGTTGCTCAGACACTTTCTCCCTCCTCCTGCGACGTGGCAGATGGGTCCAAGATTTGGGCTGCCCTCTGCTTCTTCTTAGACAGCCCTATTTCCCTCCCGAAAGGTGCACAGCTAAGCCTAGAGTTTCTCTGGGAGAAGAGATGTGTTGCGTACACAAGTGGATCCAATCCTTTGCACTGCCAATGAAAAACTCAACCTAGAGCTTGGAAAAGCAATGGAAGTTCTGCCTGGAGGCTGCATAGGACCAGCAGCAGTCAGCAAAGCTTGGCTCTGCAGACAGTGTCACCCACCACCTACCCTCCTCCTCCTCCTCCTCCTCCTCCTCCTCAAAATGCATGGTCTCTTCTCCCAGCAATAAGAAAGAATGGGACTGCCAATGACCACAGCAAGAGGCTAAGAGGGAGGAGAAACGGCTGCTTAGATTGGGAGTTTTACCACTGATAAAAAACCAGGCGTAGACTTTGCAAAACAAATGAAACATTCGTGGTGCCGTTCCCCCACCCCACCCCACCCCACCCCAATTTTATGTTAGTTTTGCAAACTTGCAAATGACATTATCAGATGTGTACTGACTCCCTTTCCAAATGCACGTTAGGAATAGGCGTTTCTGGAGGTCTTCTTCCTCACGCCCTCCTGCACCATTTCATCATGCGTTGTCTTGGGCAAGAAAAGGACTTGCTCCCTGCCGGAGTCTCTCTTGGGCTGGCCTGCCGAAAGCGGCCACTCCAGTCCACCCGGCCTGGCGAAAACGCTTTGGAAGAAGAGCCAAGGGCCACCTCGGCACTCAGACGCAGTTGCACAACACACAACGTGTGGTTAGGGGTGTGGGAAGGCCGCCTGTTCAATGACATGAAATGCACTATGCGAACCCAGAAAACAGATTCACTGGCCAAATTATGTGCACAGCATGAACGCTACCAAAGTGAAGTTAGTGGGGTCACACCATTCTACGTCATGCAGTTTGCTGACATAAAATACTAGGGTGGTTTAAAGGGCTTAAGGCAGTGTTGTCCAAACTTGGCCACTTTAAGATGAGTGGACTTCAACTCCCAGA